CGTTCTGCTCAAATATACATGTGGGCTCTTGAGTTTGGATGTTGGTGTTTCTGGTTGTCTCCTGAGTCCCAGGGATGACCTGAAGTCTTATGGACCTTCTTCTCTTACCAGAGGCTGAGGAAAAAGTCAGTGACTCTGAGAAGCTTGGATGTGGACGTGGTTTCCTCTTCTAATCCAGCATCCTTCTGCACGCTGTCAAGCTAATAGCTCTGTGGCATACCTGCAGTGAGGCTGACAGAAGGAAATAAGCTTTTTCTAAATGGGTAGGGGTTTCTAAAAAAGGAAATTTTGACCTACTAGAGCAAAAGAGGGCTAGGTCTTGAAAGAAATTGGAGGAGGATCCCTGCAATGAATGTTGTTTGGAGATGGTTCAGGCTACCCTTCAGTGAAGCTGAATCTCATTAGCACATAGACAACATGCGCACATTACTGTGGTGCACTCTCTTTTTCTTGAGAAGTTTATATAGATTTAGCAATTAAGAGGAGCTTCAGGTATGCTATCTGAACAAAAAGTATGTCAATGCAATCTAATTTGTATTAAGAGATGAGGCTTCTCTCTTGTCTGACTGTGAGCAGAAACTGAGACCGCTCTTGAAATATTTTGAATGTGCTCCCTGTCTTCTCAAGGACTGCTTGAGAATTCAGTCAAAAGCCAGTGCAAAAAGCTATCTGATACAAGATGATGACGTGCTGTTTATTCTGTTTTATGGCTTTTCAGTCCTACAACTGAACAAGTGACTTGATGTATAGAGAACTGCGCTAAAACAACCTTGTAGTTGAGGGGTTTTGTGGGAAAAGAGAGAGGCTGGGCAGAGGGCGTATAATTAAGAGCTAAGTTGGTAAACTAATAGAGATTAACTAATGAAAGAATACTGAGCGATGTGCAGTAATATAAATCACTGCTACAATTACAAAACTTCACAACATTAGAAATGGAGGCATGAAATCAGAATTAAATGTGTGTGCAATGAGTTGACCTTCTTGAAAATGAAAATGAAAAAAACAGACTCGGAGAGCTTTCTGTACAATTGAAAATACGAAAGGAGCAATAAAAAAACCTAACCCAACGGTTCCACCAAAAGGTTTTTGAGAAAGGAAGCTAATGAGGTGGCTGAAGAACAACCTAGTTTTACCAAAACCAGAGCATTTAAAGAATCATATGGAACACAATCCTTGAAGAACTGCAAGCTCTTACCTGGGAGGCTTAATAATAACTATACTTTACATCTCTGTGAGGTATATGTTATCTTTTGAAGGCATAAAGCAGTGAATAAATCAAAACACGTTAAGGTTAATGCTTATGTACTACTAAATACTAATAGCAGAGGTGGAGTCTCTTGCCCTTGTGTTGCTTTTAGATTGTCACACTGTTGTTCTTGGACAATTTATTTGTAATACAGAGTGCAAAATAAAAATGCCCACATCTTTTATTATAGTTGGAGTGCACTTTAGAAGATGTAAGTCTGTTCCATCCAGGTGTGCACAAAATGCAGCTCTCCGGAAGAGAAAGGAGTGTGTAAACCAAGCTGGACCTAGAGCCCTCTCTGCTGGATGGCTGAGAAACAACACTTCAAACAGGAAAAAAAATAAGAATTCTGATGTAGAAAAGAAAAATCTGAGAAGCTAGTGCAAGAAATCTAGACATAAACCACAAAACTTATGTAGTCGAGCTCTTCCTATAATATGCAGAAGAAATAGCATGCATTTATTGCATAAAATGGCCTTTTCTTATTAAATCATCTGGTGATATGTTTTAATGACAATTCTTTTCTTTTGACAATATATGGTATCTGAGGGGGGAAAAAAGGAACTAACTTTCCATCTTAGAAATTTGAAAAATTCATTATATCCGTGCCAAAGAAGAGTATGCAAGTAAAGAATTCTAAACCCATGTATAGCATAGGAGGTGTAGATGGGTACTGTATTTTTATGGTAATGCCCAAAAGAAATTAAGACTTACTGTAGGAGCTGTAGCAATATGTGAAAAATATACTATTCCAAGACCAAGTACTTTTTTAAAAAGACACTTGGCAAGATGTATCGACTTCTCATGTTCTGTTTTAAAATAAAATATATTTTCCAATAAAAGGGTACACCTTATCATAGTAATTAATGTCCATATCTTATTCCTAAAGTGAAGGCAAACATAGACTTTTTGAATTTTTTTCTTTCAGAAAATTTGACTAATACAAACAGGCAAAAGGAGAGATGCAGAGAATAATTGGATTGCCACTTTATTGCTAGCACTGAGAGATCCACTAAAACTATGCAGCTCCCTAAAGTCCAACTATTTGGAGCTGACGCTGACGTGTGTGTGCGTGTGAGTACACATGCACAGCTTTTATGTGGTTTTTTTAAGCCAAAAAAAGTCCTCTGGAGATAAGAGGGATCAACTTTGAATAAACTTGTGAGGAGCGTTGACTCTCCCTTCTCCCATGATCTTTTAAAATGTGATAGCAGCTGAAGACACTCATGACATATCTGGCCACAGAATATTCATGTAGGGACAAGAAAAAACAGGGTTTGTGTACACTTTTGGAAAACTTTGAAACCTTGTGTATATGGAAAACTATAGCAAAACAGTCATTGACCTTTATTAAACTTGGTTTCCCTCCATTTCTGTGTGTGGGATAAGCATGTTCTGGAAATGTTTGATGTTCTGTAGTATTCATTATGCATTTTTCCTTTTCCTTTTTTTGGGTCATCATTTTGCTTAAGGGTAGCAACTTGATTAATGGCATTTTAGTACAGACAGTGTGGTGGGGTTGCCTTAGGGGTTATTTTTTTTCTGCTTTTTTTCAAGAAACAATGACATAACCACTTGAAAATTATTTTGATTAAAAGTGGTGTAAGAAGTGCAGAGTAGTAAGAGACAGGAAGATTTTATAATATTTTTTTTCCTGTAAGAATAAGTTGTGGGAAGTAAGTATTTCTGAAAAAAAAAATGAAGCCTGTCCATGTAATCAAACTAACTGGTATGAATTTATCACGTTGTATCACTCACTAGGTGTTGTGCCCAAGGCAGTAATGGCATTGTGTAAAGGACTGTAAATTTGTTCTCTTGAAAAGGCAGGAGTAGTGCAAATATACACTGAAGGATACCTTTCTATTTGTGCTCCTGCTTTACCCGTTTTTTCCTGTCATTTGTTGACCCAGCTCATTCTAATGGTAGCATGAACAAAGACATCTTAAAAGTATATTTATAGAGGTAGTTGTGAAAGTATCTTAGTAGTACTTATTTTCCACAGAAGAGTAAATGCAGAAACATTACATTGTCTTTTTTTCCTCTTTCATATCTCCCAAGGTGCTTTCTCAACACATTTTTTTTTTCATAAGAAATGAAGTACTTTGTATGTAGTTGAACAATAGGTATAAAATATTAGGCAACTGTCTAGTGGCTTGTTTATCAATCATAGAATACCAGGTTGGAAGGGACCTCAAGGATCATCTGGTGCAACCTTTCTAGGCAAGAGCACAGTCTAGACAAGATGGCCCAGCACCCTGTCCAGCTGAGTCTTAAAAGTGTCCAGTGTGGTGGAGTCAACCGCTTCCCTGGGGAGATTATTCCAATGGTTGACTGTTCTCATTGTGGAATTTCTCTCTCATGTCCAGTCGGAATCTCCCCAAGAACAACTTGTACCCATTACCCCTTGTCCTCTCCATGTGACTCCTTGTAAAAAGGGAGTCTATCTTCTCTTAGGTACTGGTACATGGTGATGAGATCCCCTTATATATAAATATATACACACACTCACACGTATCTTCTTGGTAGACTAATAAATGCTATCTAACCTCTAGTGCATTAACTTCTGGATATGATTAAGCTACAGGATAAGCGTATTGCAAAGATTATAAGCATTTTTGGTGTTAACCTAAGAGACACCTCAAAGAACACTTGCAGATCTGCCAGTACTGTTTCTGGAGTGGAAGCAGGGCAGGTGCGATGCTAAAGGAGAGCTGTAACATGTCTGTGGAGCCACCAGACCAGTGGCTATAGTGTGAAACAAATACATAGATTGCATAGGTCTTACATGGAAGGAACTCCTCTGACACTGTTTTTATTCCCTAAGACTATCAAAGGTCTGATCTTGTCCATCGGTCCTGACTGGCTGTAGTTACCACAGCAAAGGCAGAGTGCTTGCTGCTAGTGTGCTAAACCCGTGGTCATGTTTCTGCTGTAAAGGCATTCTCTTTCTTACAATAGCTTGGGTAATTTCTAAAGATGTTTTAGACAGACAGACCTCATTAAAAAGCAGGTATTTGGCAGTCTCTGCCAATCCACAAGCTGGATTTAAGTGTTAAGCATTCTGTGACTGTTCACGTTACGTACTAAATAGTTTAAAATGTCTTTTCTGGATCCAATACAGAAATCCAGTAAGTCTGTACAGATTTTTCTTACTGTAACTGAATGTGAGTTTGAAAAACAAAATAAACATGAATCTGAGTTTGCACTGAACTCTCTATGGCCGTGTTTCTGTTGACAGACTTCACTAGGTTCTGGACCGGGCTCTTTGACTATAAAATGGTAGCAATGACTTTATTGTTCCACACAGTTCTGTTAAAAATTCACTTGAATATCTGAGATAACAAAGATCTTGAAAAATTTCCAGATATTAAAAGCATAATATTTACACTGAAAATTAACATTATCCATGCTTTGTGATTAGAAGATAGCCAAACAAATGAGTGTTTGAGAATACACTGCTGCTCTCTTCTTCAGCTATAACTTAATAATTTTGCAGGTATCTGCAGGTATCTTGCAGTATCAGAAGGCCTTAACTCATTCTGTGCTGGGATAGAGTTGTACTGTACAGGGCTGTTCTCTTATGACTCAATAAAAACTTTTTCCAAAATCATTGCATAATTATTAATTCTGTTTAATATTAAATAGTTTTTCTGATGCGGACTTTACCTATGCTATGTTTTGCTGCAGAATTTTCTTAAAGGGAATATCTCTCAAATATATGTTTACATGTTTCTTATTTTTCTTTTTTCAGGGTATGGCTTTTACCTTGGAAGAGAGGCAACAGTTGAATATTCATGGCTTATTGCCACCTTGCTTTCGTGGTCAAGATGCCCAGGTTTATAGTATTCTTAAGAATTTTGAAAGGCTGACATCTGACCTAGACAGGTAAAGAATGGCCATGAAACTTTTATCATACTTATCAAACCATGAGTCCCTTATTTATTTTTTTCTGGCAGTATAGATGAAATCTTGTGGGTTTTTATCGAGCTGTGGTGGTTGATGATTGGGAATCTTCAAGCTACATACATACTTTTGCTAGAATGCTTTCTTCAAAAACTCAGCTCCTAATTGTAACTTATAATAATCCAGTGCTGGTCACGTGAACTTACTATTTCAATGCCCAAATGATACAAAGGTCATCAGAAGCAAATGAAGTCATGTGAAACTAAAAGTCAGTAATGTCTTTACATGCAGATAGATACATATGCATTAAAAATATATAAAATTTATAAAATATTATAAAATTAATATGTTGTAGTGTTGTGTTTGGTTTTTTTTTTTTAAAGAAAAAAGCTGGGGAGGGCTTTAAACATTTACGAATACTAAAATGTTTTTTTTTCCTAAGTGTTTTATAGGCCCTAGAAGAAAACCGTGTTCCTTCATTTTTCCCCCTGTGCCTTGCTTTTATCTGTTGTGGATTGTTGTTATCTATACGTAATACATGGCTTTTAATCTGTATGTAATACATGACTTTTAGATACCTGTCTGTTGGTGGCAATGCTTTTTTTATAATTTAAAGTTTCCACAACCTTTGTTTTTTATGAAGGCAGAATAGGATGAGGAGAGCCTTCCCCGTAAGTGAAGAGCTCACAGCTGTGGTGTCTTTTCTAGGTTAACTATCTGCCAGTGAGGGCGTTATCAGTTATCACAGAGTAGCAGCTTCCCAGGCTGGAATGTTTTAGTCTGAGTCCCTGCATCTAGCAAAGAGTAAAATTTCATGGAGACCCCTGCTTCAACCACTGAAGTTATCGTAGGAGAAAACTTTCTCTGTCCTTCTGTCCCCATCTCCTCCTTAACTCTGCCTTGAAGTAGTCCCTTCGTGGTACAGCTGCTTGTCTCATATGTTCCAGGACATTTAGGACTTTAAGGCTCTTCCAATTCTTTGTTTCTCCTTGAATTGCTGGAATTTCTATTCACCTGTAACTTAAAAGCAGGAGGAAAAAAAGGCCTTTTAACCCCTTGTTACATGTGTTTCTTTACTAGCAAAGAAATTTTAATCCTGCTCCAGGTCATAGGAGAAAAGCACTTGTGTTTCTTAAAACATCACAGATTGAAAGTTGCAGGTCTAGCTATGTGAAATTCAAGAGGAAAGTAGCAGTATTTTCATCCTAATTCTTCAATTTTTTTTTTTAGCAAAAAATTGTGGATATTTAAATGGCTCTTTGCCAAAATGAAAGATTTCTGCAGGAAAGGAAAAAAGAAATAATCTACCGGTTTGAAATGACAGAGTATTAGAGGTTTGAAGGCTGTGCCATTTCAACCACAATAAAACACCATATACTGAAGTTTTGATCACAGTGGGAATCATAAAATAAAAATAACTATATCTGACTATTGTGGGAATACTTTGCAGAAAACTTGCTTTATCATGTTAAAAAAAAGAAAAATGTGTCTGTCTTAGGGGTGAGGGAGGAAAGGAACTTTTTTTTTAAAGTACACTTAATCCATATACAATAGATACATAATACAGAAGTATAAATAAATATAAATATGTTTACAAATAAATGTAAATAAAAGGTTTTCCAGAAGCCATTTGCTTCAGATAATTTTTTCCAAGTCTGTCCCTGTTAAGCTTAATGTCTATATATAATTAATTAAACAAAACCTCAATATCATTGTTACCCACCTATGAGTCTTCTTTTGCATTTTCTCTTTTCCAAATAAATAGTTGGGTAAAGAAGAAATTTGTTTCCTGCTGCTGTGACCACACATTTTTAAAACAGAAGCGCAAACATTACATCCATGTGTCTTGAGCATGAAACTGTAGCTTGCCATTTTATACCATAAAGCCAGTTTTTAGTATGATTTTTTTTTTTTTTAGTATAAGGGTTATAGTGTAATGTGCAGCTTTGCAGTACAAATTTGTTGTTGCTAGTAGGGTTTTAGTGACATACTTCATCTGAGAAAACTAGTCAGTCTTTGGTTCATAAAAATAACTGGAAACTATTAAACGTTACGCTTTTTTCTCACTAACGTGATCACTAGTCAAAATACTTCAATTAAGAATGTAGTAATTAATGTAAGAAAATAATTCTAAAGCTGTGTTTATTTCCCAGTTTTATTCTGTGGCATGTGGCAGCGGTATTTTCTCAACCATAATTTTTGGTTGAGGTATTTGTATCTTCTCCTTCCCCTTATAGTCTGAATAAGCAGTGTGGCTCTGTTTATAATACTGGATAAGCTGGGCTGGAGTCTCCATCTTTGGAGACATTCAAAACCTGACTGAACATGGTCCTGGGCAGCCTGCTCTTGTTGACTCTGCTCTGAGCAGGGGATTGGATGAGGCGATCTCCAGAGGTCCCCTCCAACCTCGGCCAGTCTACGATTTCATAACGCAGGTCCATAGCAGTTAAGACATAAGCTTTCAGGGCTAATCTTGGATCGATGCAAATTTGTGTAAATTAAATCAGGTTGGCCCTTAAGCACTTAAAATGGTATAAATCCACAAGTCCTCCGCAAATGAAATTTTCTTTAAGAAACCATATTTATATCCTGTGTGAACACCCTGCAGGCCTAAATTGACTATTCATGTCATGCTATGTTTTGATAAAAAAATACTTTCCTCTTATATTAGTGGGACATTATATTGCTGTGGTGTTTTCTCCAGTTTTTAGCAAAATAAAAGCATCTGTGTGTTACCTGTGTAGGTTTACATTTGAGACCATTGACTGAAAGGCTTGGTAACGTTTGTATGCAGAAGATGCTTCCTTTGAAGACAATCAACGATGACATCTTGGGCTCCGTTGCAGAGATAAAACACTTGCGCGAATTGAGTGTGCAAAAACTTGCACATGCAAAATGTGATTTGCAGCTGTGTTTACAAGTCAAGTGTCTGACAATTTTATTGGAGCATGTCGATTGAGATCCTGCTCTGAAAACATGTGCGTTGCATGTGTGTGAGCTCAGTCCTTCCAGGCAATATGTGAACTTCCGTCTCCTGTACTTATACATGTATCGAACCATTTTAAAGGAAGAGTGACTGTGATACTGCTGCAGTTGCTCCTTGAATACCTTCACTGATGGAGAATGCCAGAAGACATTGACTATTTAGTCAACTATTAGTTCAAAAAGGGCAAGTGTTGAGTGCTGCACCTGGGGAGGTCTAACCCCATGCACCAGTACAGGCTGGGGGCTGACCTGCTGGAAAAGAAGCTCTGCTGAGAGGGACCTGGGAATCCTGGTGGATGACAAGCTGACCATGAGCCAGCAGTGTGCCCTTGTTGCCAAGAAGTCCAATGGTATCCTGGGCTGCATTAAGAGGAGTGTGGCCAGCAGGTCGAGGGAGGTTATCCTCCCCCCCTACTCTGCCCTGGTGAGACCCCACCTGGAGTACTGTGTCCAGTTCTGGGCTTCCAGGTTCAAGAAGGATGAGGAACTCTTAGAGATAGTCCAGAGGAGGGCAACAAAGATAATTAGGGGACTGGAGCATCTCTCCTATGAGGAAAGGCTGAGAGAGCTGGTCTTGTTTAGCCTGAGGAAGAGAAGACTGAGAGGGGATGTCATCAACACATACAAATATCTCAAGGGTGGATGTCACGAGGACGGAGCCAGACTCTTCACAGTGGTGTCCAGCAACAGGACAAGGGGCAATGGGCACAAACTGAAACATAAGAGGTTTCAGTTGAACATGAGGAAGAACTTCTTTACTTTGAGGGTGACGGAGCACTGGAACAGGCTGCCCAGGGGGGTTGTGGAGTCTCCTTCTCTGGAGATATTCAAAGCCCATCCGGATGATGTCCTGTGTAACCTGCTCTAGGTGAACCTGCTTTAGCAGGGGGATTGGACTAGATGATCTCCTAAGGTCCCTTCCAACCCTTGCCATTCTGTGATTTTAACTGGAACTTGAAAGAAAACCTCAAGTGTTCCCTGTACAGGCAGGTACTCAAGGACAACCTTGAGTAAGAGCTTGCAGCTATTGCCTTCTACTGAATGTAAATGTACTAATTCTAGCGAAAAAAAATTCTTCCAGTATGCATCTGGCATAGTCTTCACTTCCATAGGAGCAGTGATTGAAAAGAAATAAAGGGAAGCTGTTGTTTTCCTCCTAGAGCTTGGATTTGATAGTGTATATCTGTGCGTTTAGTTTTAGTTTAAATATAAGTGTTTAAATATTGCAAAGGTGGAAGCTGTTAAGTACCTTAGACAGAAGGGTATTGTCTGATTAAACATTTATACTATGTATGACGGCACCTGAAACTGGCAGGATTGTAGCTTGCCCTGATTTTGATTGGAAAGAGGGTGTGTGTAAATTCATAAAGCTAAGATGACAGTACCATGGCATGACATGTTTTGCCACATCTGAAACTCCTTTGCTGACTTGCAGCATGGAATTGTTGTGCTCTGAAATACCAAGAGTTCATACACAAAATGAATGTGAAACAGCAGCAAGCACATTGCTTGGTATGCTTGGCAAAAAGGAAGCCAGTAACAGGAAATAATTCTATTCCTCTAGCTTGATTTGGAAAAGCTGTGATGGATTCTGCAAGTAATTTAATCTTTTTTTTTTTTCTCCCCTGGATGTTCTTGTCTCTCTTCTTTCTCTGTATTGACACTGAAATCATTGCCCTTGACACAACCACGTCTTCCGTCTGGGCTTTTCTTTCTTCAAAGAGTCACGCTGATAAGATGTTATACTGGATGTGTGAACGTTAGGAGAGGTGCCATCAAATCACTTTTCCTGAGAATGCTGTGTTATTTTGGGTTTTCTTGAAGTTCTCTGTCATTAATAGCATTTCTATGTAGATACTGATGATGCAAAGTAATGAAGCTAAGTATCTTATAAGGTAAAAGTGTTTCCTCCCACTTTCCTTTATTTCATCTCATGTTTTGCAAGATAAGAGCAAAAAACTTTGGGTTTGTTTTGTTTTGTTTTGTTTTACCATTCCATTTTGCCTTGTAAAATGCATGCCAGTGATAGGAGGGCCAGTTATCCGAAGAAATCATCAGTAATTTTCTGGTAGTCCTATCAGTTTTATTTTGGATTTTGGATGATATTTGGTTTATATCCTTTTGTTGCTACTGTATTTCATTCCCTTGGTAATAGCAGGCTAGCATGAAAAGTCCTTAGGTGAAGTAAAGGCAAAGGGGAAAAGTGACATACAGAAATTTGAATGCTTGGCAATCTCCTCTGTCTTACTTGCCAGGCCTTGGTTTTCATCCTCTGAAACTCTTCCCTGAAGTCATCATTCAAGACTCCTTGTCTGAGGACAGATAATATTTTTCTCCCTTTTTATAGCACAAATGATTGTTCTCAGTGTTTTATTGCATGTTTTCACTATGTTTTCAATTAAATGTGGGCTTTAGTAAAAGATTCCATTAAATCCTGCATTTTAAATATATCTTTTTTTAAAGCACAATGCTGAAAACCACTTCATGCTTTTAGTTGTGTAGATTACTTGCATGTTGCTAAAAGATGCATACTTGTTGTCTAATGCATTATAACCAACACCACATTGAGGATGAAGCATTTTTGGTTTTCCCCTCAAGAAAGAATTTCTGAGAAAGTTGATAGCCCTAAGCAAGTTGTTATGCTGAGAAAGAAGACACATTTTATACCTGCCACTGAGAAGTAGCCTTCTGATCAGAATTGCTCTTCTCTAGAAATATTCTTCACTTTATAATAATATTTCTTATGCTGATTTGGATATGGCCAAGTATGTAATATTTGAAAATATGTTTATAAGTCATATGCAGTTATTATCTTTGCAATTTCTGTAGCATATCCTGAATATAAAAGTGGCATGATGAATGCAAATAAGAAACTAACCCCCCAATTTAATGCTATAGGACAGTAAAAACAAAATTGAGAGTTTTAGCAAATAGTTTGTTGATTTGAAGCCCTTAAGGAAGCCTTTTGCTAACTTTTAATTTCTTTTGTAAAAGATTTCTTTACCCTATTTAGAATCCAGGCTTGATCTGAGTAATAAGAAAGGATGATGAAAAGGTCTTTTAAAGTCTTAAGTAGCCACATCTCATTTTAAATGAAAGTGATAAAAAGAAAAAAAAAAAATATACTGGCAATTGCTTTGAAACATGTGGCTTGCATGAATGCTTGCAGGCTCCGGTATAGAGCAGGCCAGAGTATGCACGATATTCTCTAACATCACTTCCAAGATCCTCTGGAAACAAAATGAATTTCTTCAAATGTATTCACAGCTATATGTGAATGAACTTGCATTTCAAGGTAAATGTTGGAATAATCATCCTCAGGAGAAAGGTTTTAATAAAGAAAATGCTCCAAGAATTCAAGGACGTTGAAAGATACGCTATATCATAATGAAATACTGGGGAAATGAAAGGTTAGTAGGGAAATGTAATAATATGAAAGAAAATTAGTACGTATGTATATTTGTAGATGAGAAGTACAAGTGCAGGGTATAATTTAACCTTGGAGAACATTCAAAACTAATGTGTGTGCTGAAAGATGGTTCAGGATGCCTCCTGGTGATGCTATTTAGAGTACGTCTTCAACTCTTTGGTTTCTAGACCTTTATCCGTTTAGGGTCCAAAGTACTCTTAGTGACACAAGGGGTGGGACACTGTTTTGCCTTACTTTTGTCACCTCCTTACAGTCACCGCTGCCAAGCTGGCCGCACTGGCATCATTTATAGTGCTTGTTAAAGATTTATAGAGCAGATTGTGGAAGAAATATTTTCTTGGTATGCAGGGATAGACCAGCTACCTTGACTAAAACAAATGCAGATTTACTAAACTTTTCTTTATTAGATAGTTACCTGACTATATTTGTGTCTTCCTAAAGTATGAATTAGATTTTATTGGTGCATGTGATGTGTGAATATGCTGAAGGAAATATCAGGTGGATAATATTTACGTGCACAAACCTCTAGGCTTTTGGAGTTAATGTGTTGTGTGCTTTTCCTCAACACTGGTGTAATAAAATGGTGGGCATATTAAACTTTTTCAGTATAAGTAATTAGTAATCCATTGTAAATAAAAAAAAAACCCAACCTACATAAATTGTATACATAATTAAGTTAAAGATTTTATGTAAGCCTATTGGTATAGAAGACTACTTAATTTTTAAAGTTGTACTTAACCTTACTAAAACTAATGAATAGAGAGGTGGGGTTTAGGATCATCAAATTCCTAAATACTGAGTGTTCACAAAGTGACCAGAGTCATACTTGTATGAACTAGTGTAACCTGAAGTCAGTCATAGACTCGTATAATCTCTCATACTCAGCATTGGCATTTGGCTTCCCAGTTCGGATCTTGGAGCAGCAGTGTATTTATTCAATATTAGAGTGATGGTAGTCAAAAGTAGATCAAGCTAAGCATGAACTTTTTTTCACTCTTATTTCTCTGCCTCTTTTTTTCTCATTGGTTTTCTTTTTAAATAAATATAAAACTTCTTCAAATGCAATAAAAATTGATTTCCATTAGGAGATAAAACATTGCAGATTTCATTACATAGACTTCGGAGACGAAAGGCCATATGCGTATGCTTTGGTTTTGAAAGCTTTGGCCTACAGTGTTCGGGTGAAATATTTATTTGAAGTATTGTCTGGATTTAAGAGAAATTTCTATCAAGGTGAGTGGAGACGAAAGGCCATATGCGTATGCTTTGTTTTTGAAAGCTTTGGCCTACAGTGTTCAGGTGAAGTATTTATTTGAAGTATTAGTCTGGATTTAAGAGAAATTTCTATCAAGGTGAGAGTAGAAAAAACTAACATTTTTAGTTTCGGGTTTTTGGGCAAGAGAGTAAGCTTGTTTAAGTTCTATCTGATGATGGTCTCATTTCAAGTGGAACAACTATATGTACGGATAAGGTTCTGACAGACCACATACTCAGTCACAGTGTAGTGTTTTATACCTGAGAAGGGGTTAGCTTTCTGAGTATGTAGAGTTTGTCAACTCTGTGATGTTTTCAGCTTCTCTGCCTCAACCATTTTTGTTATCCTTTGTGTCTCAACCATTTGTGCTATTAAGAGAAGGAGGAATTTAAATAGTCCCAACAAGAAAAAGGCTGTTATAGAACAAACATAGCTTTAATTAATTATCTAAACACCTTTGTGTTTCTAAATTTATTTTATGTGTTCACTCGATGTCTGTCTAATTATATGTAATTCTCCACAGATACATTCTACTAATGAGTCTTCAGGATCGAAATGAAAAGCTTTTCTATAAAGTGCTGACTTCTGACATTGAAAGGTTCATGCCGATTGTTTATACTCCCACTGTGGGACTGGCTTGCCAACAATATGGTTTAGCATTTCGGAGGCCAAGGTATGTAAGTTTATACTTCAAATAAAAGTAATTGTATCTTATTTGCCTCTTGGCAGATTTCTGCGGGGGTTTTCTAACGTAGCTGAATGTAAGCCAAAACTGCAATAATTGAGATAATTCAAACTACACTTTTGGTCTACGTTAAACCATAATTTGTATTGCATTAAGAGGGCAAATGGTTGTTCTAATTGTATTAAAACATAGGTACATTTTTAATCTCATTAACTGTCTTTTTTGGAATCCTAGCTGCATGATACTAGACCAGAGAAGAATAGATCCTTAGTTTTAGATTTGTCTTAGCAACCTGAAGAGCATGGACTTTTACCTATATAAAAATTTATATTTTAGGTATTTTATACATAGATATATAAAAATAATATGTATACAAACTAAGGATGCATTATTTATGTACTACAGACATCTTAAAAATATTCATCAAACTGCCTGTCTCACTGCTTGATAATTTGTTGTTTCATAGGTTGGTTACTGGAGTGCTTTTGTCCTGTGTATAATATCTTTATTTATAGAGTGATGAGGATAGATGCTTCTGTTTCACTCTGCCCCTAGGACATCAGCCCACAGAGTTTGAGATTTATGGTGGTTGCTGTTTGAGACCCTTGTGTATACCAGTGCCTCCAAGTGCGAACTGGAACAACACTTTGGAGCCTTCTGTACAATTTTCTGGCAAAGGAAGAGATAAATGAGCTGTATGTGCATAGCTCTGTTAACAGAAATAGGTTTTTTACAGTCAAGGCATTGATCTAGAATAAGAAGCTTGCAAGATC